TGGGTCACAGAACCATATTTGTCCGTATTATCAACAGGACCTCGCAAAAGAACCGCACCCACATTTTCAATCTTTTTTGAAGCGCGAAAAGTTGCCAACAAATGTCAAAAAACTCGTGAATTTCATAGATTCGAATAAAATAACGCAAGCGATTGATAAGACTGATTATTAATATTTTCCCGGATGCTCTTCAAATTTTTATTTTTTTTATTTCAAGGTAAGAAATGGCTAGTTGAAGTTGCATTGTCTTCAATGCGGCTGTTTCACCGCCAAGATCCTGCGAACAACTCTAGCTCTGTTTTATTAGATCTCTTATCAGAGACACTTGAAGGATTAGCTTGTTTGTAAACTGTCAGCGTGTACAGTGGGACATTAATGTTTGTCAGAGGATTATCCTTAGTTGTTCGTTTGCATAACAATGGAAACCCGAATGTTCCTGGAGTATGGACTCAAATGCCAGCAGTTTTCTTCATTTTTCACCCTCGAGCTTGAAATTATTCATTATCTGACACTCTTTATGAGTTCTATGATATCAGTGGTTAATATGTTTGGCCATTTTTAGTGTATATTTATAATAATGCAGCAAATCTACAGTGTTTTATTAACCAAAACTGTTTTTCGCGTTTTTCTCGAGTTGAAGTTTTGATTGAGTACAACTCATTGAGACCGCCGCCAGATCAAGTGCGTTCGGACTAGGACATTCATACTCGCAGTTATCGTTCAAAAGATAATGATGGTGCAAAATATGTCTGGGTTTTTAAAGAAAATGCTTTGTCACAGAATAATAGTCTGTTGAAGGTGCCAAGTATGAAATAATTTGGGGACAAAAAAACAAACCTGCATAGAAATCGGAATAATAGGTCTTTTGATTACCGTGGACACATTTCAATGGACTTGATTACGGACAATGCATGACGTAAATTTCACCAGGAAATTCTGCAGTTGTGCTCTCGCAATCGCGAACTTAGTCATTTTTACAAGGTTCGCCATTTTTGATGTCACGCGATAATTATGTAAACAATGACTGTCCTTGCGAACTTCTACCTCTATACTTAGTTTTTTGAAATATATATTAGCTAAATTTACTGTTCTGAACGAGACAACAGACAGAGAATGTTTTATTCGAAAACATCACAAAACCCTTCTCGCTACCTTAAGAACAAACTAACATCCCTGGTTTATATAATAATGAAAAGTATAATTATGTAAATATAATATACCCGTAAAATCTGTATTAGAAGCTGCATGTTTTTACTTGGAATTAATTTTCGCTTTTTTCGCTTCAGCGATGATTCATTGAAAATCAAATCTAGCGAATGTACATTTCTTTCCTATATTTTACATTCAACTGTCAAAAATAATTGAAAATAAAATTCCGTACAAAAAAGTCTTTTCAGCGAAAATTAATTCAACTAAAATAAAGTATTCTACAGTATTTTTGCAATTTGGTTATTTAATGCGTGTATATGAAAAAGTGTTTGTAAAATTGACTTTGTCTTCATTTTCATTGCTTCAAAATTTGACTGTATTGACTTGTATAATTTATAAAAATTTATCGCTAGTGAAATTGAATATGAATATTTGGGCATCATGTAATGTCAATGTCATTGCTTCATATTATTATGTGACAGTATATTTCCACTGTTTTGAACTTTACGAAATGTATTTCTCTCAATATACATTCTCAATTTAGATATCAGGGGAACTGAAGACTCAAACTTTATTAATCCCTCGAGCACTTTTTGTCACTTTTCAAGGATTAAAAAACTGATAATTTTTTTTTTAATTCAAATGACCTGTAATGTGTATTTGGTCCTAAATAAAAAACTAAAAAAACTAAGTGAAAACTATGTAAAAATGTATGAAATATGGCACAGGTGGTAACAGATGAATCATATTATTGATGCTGTATTACATTAATGAATTCTCTATTGACTCATATTGAAGTTGCAATCAACTTTTCATTTTCATGGGATCTGTGGCGAATTTTATGAATTGTTTTAATTTTCTGAAAGGCTTTATCTCGTCAAGTCAGTGTAAAAAGTACATACGACTGACTGGCATTATTATTAATTTTTTTTTCTGTATATTTTCAGGTGTTTTTACAGATCACAGTGATGACTGGAGGCCCGCTGTACGTATGTACCGTGGTTGTTTTGTGATGATATTCAGCATATTTTTATTAGGTATTAATACATATGGATGGAGAAAAGCAGGTGTCAACCATGTCCTTATATTTGAAATTGATCCTCGAAATCATCTAAATTATGAAGAGTTATTAGAGGTATGCATTTTACAATAATTGTACTTTGATAAGCAAAAAGTTTAGTGATCTACTACCCATTTTTGCACTCAAAATTAGATGAAAATTATCTGAATTTATTAAAGTCGAAAAATTATTGTGGGTTTATGTTGATGCACAATTTTGTTTGCTTTGTGTATAACGTCAGACACTGCTGATAACAGAGTTCTAGAGTATGTGGTATTGATTGGCCAATGAGAATGCCGCACACAGTATTCTAATTTAAAGCTTGGGAGTCATCACCTGCGCATGCTTCAGATGGCCATAGCGTGTCATTGTTTAAAAACAAGTGTCTACCCAAGAGCCTTTGCGTTTTTAGCTGTGTGTGACGACCCTCCCCTTTAAGGTAGTAACA